TGTTTTTTGCCGCCGTGTTCTCGCGCTCTTTTCAAAGTTGTTGACTTGTGCAGGGCCTGAAGGGGCATCCACAGGGGAATGCCCACACAAACGCGCCTTTCTGGCGCACACCAAACAGGAGAAAGCGGTTGGAAACGAGCAGATAAAGCGAACGGATGCGGTTTTTGCGGGGGAATGGGAATACATCCGAGCCCCCCCCACCCCCCCGTCCCCCACAACCCCCCCCCAGGTTCAGCAGAATACGAGGCAAAGCGAATGTCGGGCGTAAAACCCTCGACAGTTCTGAGCAGTGACGTGTCTGACTCCAGATGTGCGTTTTTCAAAAGAAATCCGACTTGGAGACCCGAGGGGCGAGTTCGGACTTGCAACCCAGGGCTCTTCTCTTTGTCTCTTTCTCTCCCACCGGCCGCTGTAAAAGGAAACAAAAAAAAGACTTCGAGAGACAATGGTTTAATCTCAAGTTCATTGATATGTCTGTCCCTGTGAACGCCCATGTTACCTAATCTGGTGCTTGGAAATAAAATAATGATGCGCACACCTTCCGCATTCTTGTCAGTTTTTTTTTTTCAGGGGGCCACAATGTTGATGCTGGTGGGAATCGTCGCTCTGCACATCACGGACATCATCCTGCTTCTGGTGGCCACCATCGATAATGTAAGAAACTTTTATGGTGCTTCTGGTCCCACCTGGGCACTCAGAATTTTTGCATGGGCTGGCTCACATCAACTGAAAGTAACTGCAGTTTCACTGGAATCAAATAGCTCTGCCAAGCATTTAAAGCATGAGGAAAGACTCACTGCAGCCAACTGCCACCCGCATGTTTTTTTTTGTTTTTGTTTTGCTGTGACGGTGCTGCGGACATTTACACACATTTATGGACGCTGAGTCATAAATACGCTGATATAAAAAATCCTCCTCAGGCCTGGTGGATCACCGACACCACGTCGACTGACCTGTGGGGCCGGTGGGAGCTGACCAATTCAGACTGGCACTACATTAACCCGAAGGACTCCTCGGGAGGTAAGCACAAAATACTCAAAAAGACAAAAAGTACCTTTTCCGAAGGCCGTATCCGCGCAGACCTTGGAACCCAGACGCTGTTGACGGTCCGGCGGGGAGTAATAGCTGGTAAAAGTTTTGTTTTTTTTCTCTGGTATCTGTCGCCCTGCCTCTCGCAGAGTTCCTCCAGTCGGTGCAGGCCACCTCGGTGCTGGCCTGCGTCTTTGCCATCCTGGCCCTGTTCGTGTTTCTGGCCCAGCTCTTCACCCTGCCCAAAAACCAGCGCTTCACCTTCACCGGCATCCTACAGCTGTTCTCCTGTAAGTAAAACCCCGAGTCAGACGCCACGAAAGTTGGGGAAACTTGGTTTGGACTCCACAGTGTCCAGTGTCTCCCTCCTCTGATCTGTGTATAATCACAAACAAATGATTTCTCAATGCTTGACCAACTTGTTTTTACTCACTTTTTTCCCTTCCCTTTATACTGAATTATCCCCCCCAAAAAAAGACAAACTCCTACACTGTCTCTGCAAGTCCAGTGTGGATGTAAAAGGGCGGAACTGTCTAAGACTCCTATTTCTATGCAGCTGAATCATTCACTGTGCTCGTTCTCAGCACAAAACTTCGGAGGCTTCCAAAAGAAACAAAAACAAAAAAAGAAAAGAAAGAAAATGTTAGTCCTTTTCTTACTTTTTTGGTGCAAACTGTGTGCGATACCCGTGGGCGCCGTGGGCATGTTTGCATTCCAAACAGCGTTGTTTGCATATTAGGGTGAAAACAAACAGGCGCAAGCAAGTTCGGTCTTTTTTTTGTTTTAGGTTTTGGAACAGGTTTTCATTTCAATCATCATCAAGTAACTCCCCTTTCCATTGATGTTTCTGTCGCTTTTCCCTCTTCGGTTAGCGATGACAGCTACGTTTTCTCATAGCTGAAGTCAGATATCAGTTTATTGCTGCTAGTGTTTTCTTTTCTTTTTTTTGCGTTAATCTTCAGGGATGCACAAATATATCAGCAAACATTCGACATTTTATCTGCGAAACATGGACATCACAAATAAATGTGGTGTGCGTTGATTTTATGACTTATTATTTCGATTTACTTGAATTTATTAATGATTATTTGACTCTGAAAGCACAGAGGAATCACAGATTTTGTAATGGCGCGATGGACTAAAACACAGAAAGAGTTTTTCATGTTTGCGTGAGAGGATTTGTGCGCATACAGGGGGCTGGGATAAAGGCAAGAAGAGACAAAACACTCGACTTTAGCCAAATTAGTATTTCAAAGTATGTGGAGAATTCTGCATTTAAAGTCATTTATGCACAGAAATACTTCAGAGTCGGTTAAATGGGGGATTCACCTTCACAAGATGACAAGATTTGGTCAAAATTGTCTCTCCACATGACTCAAATGATGCAAAATATACTCCATGATTGCCTTTTTAACCGGAATTTCGCCGCTAACTGGTTTCAAGTGAGCATCTCATCCTTGCTCCTTTCGTCTGGAGGATGTATTTAAAGATCTGTCCCACAGCCTCAAGCTTAAATAAATTAAAGACAAAAAAAGAGTTTGGAAAAAAAGCCTCAAGCATGCCGTCGCCCTTAGGGAGAGCAGATTTGCTCGAAAACTCCCAGAGGCACACACAACAAACAGATCGACCGGACTGAAAGGAAACTCCTGGATCAACAGATTTCTTTTAACCAAATTTCTCTTTTCTGAAACTCAGTCGTGGACAGCTGGGGCTGATCATTATCAGAGGCACAATCTTGTCATGGGCTGTCATGAGTCATGTGGGGAGTTGGCCGGGGTTATTAAAGCACCACCCATCCGATATTTTTTTTATTTTACCGGCTCCAGCTAATTCGTGTTTGGCTGGAGAGGCTGGAGCGCATCCCAGCTGCCGATTGGGTGAGAGGCGGTCCGTCACAGGGCCACACATACGATAAAAAATAAAAGTTGACGCTTGCTCACACGGCCGATTTTTAAGTCTATCTGCACAGATAAGCAGATAGACTGAAGCGCCCTCCCGGTTGGCTGAAGTTTTCGTGCCGCACACTGGTGGCGAATTCAGGGAAAAAAGCGGAATCCCAAACCTCTCAGCATCATTCGCTGAAACGTCTCCTTCCTTAACTCATTGACTGCCTGAGTTTTTTGAGCATTTTGACAGATTTTTCAAGAGCCACAGAATAGTTTGTGCTATGACTATGTAAACACCAAACACACCAAAAATAAGAGTAGACTCTCTTCTTTCCTCAGGAAAAAAAAATTGTTTCTACCTTATTCCGTTCTTCCTCGACTTGCGTCTCACCGGCGACACGTTCTCTCAGCGAACCGTTACCTTTTTCTTATTTGCCTACAGTTTATGCTCATCTCCCATCAAAAGTGGCACTGCCACCTAGAGGGTCAATTTGTTACTACATACTCTGTCTAGAAGCCCGATATTTACGGTCAAGCTTTAGCAGATCGTCCCCCAAGCCACTCTCGTTGAAAAACATAAAAGACGTCTATAGATGTCTTTGGCAGCCAATGAGTTAAATGGAAGCCGTACGTGCCGATGGTGATTAGCTTCTAATAGCAAAACGAAGAGGAAGAGAAAATGAGTTCGGCTTCCCTCAACCTCAGGGCGCAGTATATGCAACGCGAGCTAAATTTACGGAGAGATTAAGACCAAGGAGGCTGGATATTTTTTTAATCGTGAGGCGAGAAATGTGGCTCTGAAGTGGGCAGTGATCAGAACGGATGACCAGAACGCCATCATTTTACAACCACCATGTTTCTCATTCCAAATCACAACAGCAGTAGGAATATTTGCATTGGTCCATGAGCCTTTTATCCTAAGAGGAGAAGCTAATGACTTTTTAATTGTCTTGTCCATCACCCGCAGGCCTGTGCATAATGATAGCAGCCTCCATCTACACAGCTGAGCTCCACACCGGTGAGGCAACGGGAGGGTACGGGCACTGCTACATCCTGGCGTGGATCTCTTTCGTCCTGTCCGCCCTCCTAACCGTCGTCTACCTCGTCCTGCGGAAGAAGAGCGAGTGAGCGAGTGAGAGGGCGGCGCCACGTTCCTCTGTAAGCGGGAACAGGGCGAGAGGGCGAGGTGGATTTCAGACATCTCGAGGACGAGCTGCTCAACACCTGCGGCTCGGAACGTGTGAATTTGTTCGAATGCTAACAGGAGCCATTTGTAATGTTTTGAATTGAACAGGTTTTTAGTTTTGAAGAGCGGGACTGCGTAGGAGCTAAATTGTCACGATGAAAAAATGCGCCTCCCCTCACATTCAGCTGAGTTGCCTTAACTTTTTTTTTTTTCTCTTTTCTTTTGTCCTCTAGTTAAATTTAGCTTTTGGAGACTTGAATCCAAACATGCCAGTATTTTAGTGGAGTAGTTTCCGCATTTACAGAAACATTCTTGCATTTGTCTCAGAGATTAAAAGATGGACGCCGTTTTGAAAAGCCAGACTGGGCGATGTCAGTCCTATCATGGGCTGGCGTTAATAAAAAGTGGCCAAACGCGTTCCCAAAATGATGATGCAAGAGTGTTAAAAGCCATCAGAGAAAGCCCTTCTAGAAGACTTTGGCTCAGAATCAAGGGCTTCTCATCTTTTAGCTGACAGTTTGTACTGCAGTGGATCCAGTACATGGAACAATCCTGTAGCTCAAAATTGCATAAAATTACAATTGATTTTATTCATTTATCATTATTTTAACAACTAAAGCATAGTGTATCCCTTCTCAGTCTATGTACAATGTAACCATATTAATTTTTGTATCCTGTTTTTTTTTTTTGTATCCTTATTTGATTTTGTGTCTGTAGTCGGCTGCTATCATGAGAAAAAGTACTTTTGTACAAGTGAACATTAAGTGAACCAGGGACGGAGGACAATCGCGGCGTTATATTCCCACATTTAACAGAAATATGCATTCTGATGTTTGTTTGTAATTATATTGGAATTGAAGCCATGTCATTTACTAATAAAACACATAAAAAAACCTTCAGAGGGTTCACGTATCTTTTTATTCAGCAAGACATTTACACAATAAATACGCAACGTGATCCAGTTTTATAGACTTGGCCTGGGGGGGGGCCCGGGGGGCTCAGATTAGGCTGTAACGTACATGACGTCAAGAAAATGCAGCTTGATTTTGGAGCTGACTGAGTAAGGGCATAGTTTTGGGTACAGTGCTCTCTGAGTGCAAGTTACGACGCCTAAAGTCTTGAAAGCAACCCTTCTTCGGGCCCTACAACAGACCCAGTCAGAAGCAAGAATGTTCCATGATATAAATTATTGTTCCCAGAGGAAGTGAGTAAGAAATGGACTGTGCTAAATGCCTTGACCAGACGGTGTTATTCGCTCTTGAACCACCAGGTGGAGGAGATGATTCTGCTCAGCTGTCAGGAATGGCCTGCGAGGAAGGAAAAAGGAAAAGAATTATTATTTTTTTTTTTTTTCAAACATGTGATCGGTATGGAAAATTAATATGCCGATAAGAATGCAATCCGCGATGGAAATGGCGTGCGCTCACCACAGCTCAGTTTGGAGAGACTTGAGGGACTCGGTGTCTTTCTCCTGACAGGCCATCTGCAAAACACATCTGTTACGCACAGCGCTGACAAAAACACGGCTGCAGACTCAGACGAGCTCGTCGGGGTCGCAATCTTCCCGAGCGCCCTGTTCTCTCCAGTCGGGTGTACACAGGCATGTCAAACTCAGGTCATTTATTAACCGTGAGACGCTAAAACAAACACGGACGAGCCCACAAACTTTAAACCTCTGAGTCATGGCAGGGAAAGTGAAAGTGTTCCAACTGTTACAGGAAGGTGAGGACACGGTCTTATTATTTTAGTGCATTTTTCTTCACATAGAGGAACTCACCACCACGGACTGCAGGAGCAGGAACACGTTCTCGGGCAGGAAGGTCACTAAACGGGGAGGAAAACATTCATTTTTACAACTACGCAAGGAAGCCTTGCTCAGTTGATTCATGAGACAGGTTCTGTTCTCTCAGTGAGCCAAACTAAAGTAAGTCCTTCCCCTGAGTCCTTCAAGAGAACGTTGAATATTTAGGAGCGTGCACCTTGACTGTGAGGGTCAAAGGACTCCCATGCGTATCTCTCCAGCGTCTGGGCGTGCTCAGGTAGCAACTTCTGAGGCGGGGGCTGCAGAGAGAGGGGAAAAGAGGACCTTTAAAGACTGGCTGCACCAATAATCCCCACACGTGGCACGCATTGTACCATGGTTGTTTTTCAAAACCGTTACAGGAACAGTTAGTCCTTCTCGTAACTGTATATGTACAGAGAAGAAAACCGACTCATCACCATGAGAGAAAAATAATGTTCTTTAAGTTAGATGACTGGTGGTATTGCCAGGATTCAAAAATCGAAATGTGAGAGCAGAGTGACGGCCTCTGAGACCAATGACTCTTAATGGGCCTTTTTTCAAGAACCTGATATATTCAGCCAAAGAGAACATAAACCAACAGTAATGACACAAATTCTGTTTAGTTTAGAAACAACTCAAAAAAAAAATTAATACATGTTTACAATTAGTAACAGGAAATTACAGTTTTGTTTTATACATGACATTAAATGGTTTTCTACTCAACTCCCTTTTCGTCTTTATGGACGCCATACATAAGAACTTTCGACTCACTCACCTCCAGCAACATCAGCAGGAGTACTCTGGATATCTCGCATTTTGCCACAATGTCCATAAATGCACCTTTAGGGCAAATAAGACAAATTAGTTTTCTGAAAAACAAAGCAAACAAAGAACACAGGAAGGTGAATGAATGTCCGAGGTGAAAGATCAGGTGAAGCAGGCCGATGTAATTGGCGACAAACAAAGGCCGGCTTGACATCCAGCCTGCGTTTGTAAATGCCCGTGCCTGAGGACTGAGTGCAACTTTTTTGCCCTTGCAGAGGAAAAAAGAGCCTCACCGACGGGGGTGGTGGTGCCTGGGAGGTGCAGGCTTCTCTCCTGACACATCAGTTGCATCTCTGTGAACACCGACAGAGCACCGTCGTAGTCGCCTGCGGTTGAGGACAACACAGGTTTAAAAAAAGAACCAAACAAATGAGTAAAACATGCAAATACCTGCTGAATGGGCTGCTTATACGCACGAGTGAGAATTTTACAGGTGGCCATTTCCCCCATGGACAGTAAGGCCTCTGTTGACGTCTGTGTCTGCAGCTCTGCGGCCCTCTGGAAGTGGACGATGGCTTCTCCCGGTCTGTTCATCTCCTGTTGAAAGTAGAAAGCTCTGATTAATACTCCATTTGGATTACATATGAGCACGAGCACCCGGAAAATAAATAAATAAATCGGCCTCCTTAATCTTATGAGACAGCATGAAGCTATCGTCCAACCTTGAGTGCGTTGCCAAGTTCCAAACACAGGCTGGCTGCCATCACGGGCTGGTTCATCTCAATGTACACCTGTAATTCATTTCCACGTCAGCGTTCGGTCACACAGCAGGAATGCAGTCACAGATCTATTCCGCAGACCTTCTGGGCTCAGGCATTCCGCCCTGAATGTGCCTGGGACCGTCGCGTACCTTGATGGCGAAGCTGTAGCAGTTGAGCGCGGCCTGCAGGTGCTCGTCGAAGCCCGGCGCCTGCAGGGCTCTGTTCTCCTTCTCGGACGTGAGAAAGAGGCGAGCAGCGTCGGTTAGAGCCAGGGCTTCTCCGGGAGCGTTGAAGAGAGTCTGCTCACACCTGCAGCCAAGAACATTCCTATAAATGCTAGACGCAAAGCCAGAGCCCGGGGCCGATAAGGATGATCCCATGGCGATAGTTTATCTTTGAAAGAGCTCTCTTCAGACTCTGCTCTCACATTCAGAGTGTCTTGGAATTTAATGCTTTACATTCAAAACAAATAGTTAAACAATTTCTACAGAAAAAAAATGTTTTTCCTTTGGTTACAGTCAATCGGCTACTTAATAAAGCAACATTTCTATTTTATAAGTCTCAATCATGTTGGGACCTTTAAGGGAAAAAACTATAAGAAAAAAAATTATTCATCTAATATAATTCTTTCAAAATAGACTCCAATTGAAATTAAACGTCATATATGAGATCATGATAAAAGCATGAAGGCCTTTATAAACCAAAGACAATATTTCAAATATACTAAAACAGACTCCAGACTTGTAGCAATATCTTCTGATTGGATAACTTGTTTCTCCACTGTTTTGTCAAAACTTTCTCATAAAGCATTAAACTAGGAACAAGTCCTCCAGGAGTTGTTGGTCAATTGCACGGTGTGCAATACGCATAACATGTGCTGCAGAGCCTACACAGCAGACAAAGTTACCGAATCATTGACAACTTGGAGAGAAGCAGACCAGGCAACGTATTGCTAGGCAGTTTATGGTGCTACAGTGGAGGCTGTGATGAGCAGTTCCTGGAGAGGTGCATCAATTGCAACAGGAACCAAAGCATTTACTACACTGCCAGACGATAGCAAGCACAGCGGGCAGTCAAGACATATGACTTAGTTGGCTCATCCGTCAGCTCATGTGCCAGGCGGCTCGCTCAGGATCCAGTGGCGTGTACGCCCACCTTGAGCATATGCCAGAGAAAAACACAACATGGCTGTTTGGGTGCCACGCGACTGTGTGGCCGCACATGGACGAATGAGGCCCCTGAACCTGCTAAACTTGCCGTTTTTTCCAGGATGTGCGTTATAAACAAGCTGTGTAACACATCCACACCAACTTTGATCATCTGACAGCATCATTAGACTGACAAACTGCTGCTTCTACATGTTATCTTACTTCTATCTTCTTCTATCTAACTTCTGTTAAATCTCAAGAATAAAGGATAACAACACATGCTATATTTATTAAAACCTAAATCAATTCAGAACTTTGACATCATGGAAGAAATGCTGGTTTATAGTATGACACAAAATGATCCAATTTGTGTCTACTCACCGAGCCATGGCCAGGTTACAGAAGGCAGCATACTGAAGGCAGTCCTGCTGCTTCAGCTCCTTTGCCAACTGACCTGCAAACACAGTAAAACGAGCGCCAAATGAATAAGAACATTAAAACGAACCCGGTTGCGTCTATTCTTCGTAGATAAGGTGAAAAACATGGGAAAAGAAAAATGTTATACATGCTGTACTTTTGGCATTTTTCAGTATGAGGGACACAACATAGTTTCATGGCTGGAGTATTAAGTATTAGTATGAACAGCATGAACACTCGTTTGTTTTCATCCAAACTGAAAACAAATAAATACACAAATCAGCCATGAACTGTGGTCTTGACTAATCGTGGTTTTTAAGCTTATCACATCTACACTTTTCTTTTCAATTTGCTTAGTTTCTACAAAAGTATGTTTATATGGTTTGTGAAAGCTGGGTTTTCATGACAGCCACTCACCAAACTGCTCACTCGCCTCTGCCACATTGGGCTTCCGGAGAAAGCGTCTGTAAGGGAAAAACAAAACGTATTATTCCTGAAATATCGCTGCAAGCTTGTCAAAAAGTCAGCCCAGCTGTTAAGGCGACGAATTGAGAAATTATCGCGAGCTTTTCATTTTAAGGATTGTCGAAAGCTATCTGCTAACATTTGTTAAATGGTCAAGGTGTTCGTCATTTATATTTGGTTTGGAATAAAAAGAGAAAAAAACACTCCTAACATATAATCTGCCTCTAATGGTGAAGAGTATGCACACTCATACAGAATATATAAACGTTTGTAACAACGACAAAGATTGACACAAGAAGAGAGTAAGCGATAGCTTTGATTGTTATCGCTAGCTCTCGCGCAATTTAGCATTCCGGCTAAGCTCATTACTCAAATCGTATTTGCACTTCCGGCCACTGTTTGAAATATAATATCAAAACGGTACTCCAAGCCTTACGTACTTTTTAAGTTTATTGGACACGGCTCGATATCTTGCCAGAAAATCTCCTTCTGCAGCCATATTCAACGCAGGAAAACAAAACAAACCAGGAAGTTCTACAGACAGCACCGTTGGCATTGGCTAGCGGAAACTAAACTTAAAGATATAATTGGTTAATGCAGATGATGACTCATGACGTTAAAAATACTAGGAGAGAAAAAAAATGGACATTTATACATTTTTATTGAGTGCAAACATATAGAACTATCGTTACATATGTGTCTGGACGGCAAGATATTTACAGAATTCAAATATAAGATGGAACAAAAAACATAAACAATGAACTAAATCTCTTTACAATTCATAAGCAACAAACAAAATCAAAGTAACGCCATGAAGTAAATAAATCTGTAACATTTATTTTCTGTACAGCAATTCCACATGTATACTAGTAGTTACATGAATGTCTCAATTTTCTTTCTCTTTTATGTATTCATTATTTATTTCCCATTTGCTGGTAGCTTTTGTTCGCCTCTGCTTTCCTTGAAGTATAAATTGCAAATATTTTTTCTTCACAAATAAAGTTAATCTTCTGTTAATCATCCCAGCTGCATCAATGTTTAAGCTTCAAAAGTTCTCATAAATGGATTCAAATATGCTTTCTTCCTGTTGTTTTAACTCTTTCGGCACCTGTAATGGTAGAGAAATAGACAGCTCAGCAACTGATTAACACAACTCCATGTGTGACAACACTTCAGAAGTTTCAAACCGTTTCTTGGGGCTCGTTTTTCTGAGCATCAGGTTTCTTCTGGTCCGGCTCTGTTCCGTGAGCTGTGGGTTCCAGCACATCATAAATGGATCTGGGTCGAGGCTCTAGACTCTGAGAGAAATTCTCATGTTAATGTCCAATAAAATGAAAAGATGATGGTAAGATTACTTTCAACCAACGTTTGTCAGTTCTAAATACTGATGATGAAAAATAGGGGCTTACAGCATAAAAAGAAGTAGACTGAGCTGCTGTCACAGCTGATGTTTCGCCTTCAGTATTTGTGTCCCGACTGCCTTCTCTTTTGGGCATTTGCACTCCATCATTGTTTTTACGCTCAATTTTCCTGTCTCTCTGAAAATGAAAGACAGGAATGTCTTACAAGATGTCTTAAAAGAGATTTTAGTGCCACAGGTTAATAGGAGACAAACAAATGTTATTAAAAGTGTTGCATAAAAATGTAACTTTGTCTATTGACTATTACTGTTTTGAACTTTACAGTTACCTAAGCGTTAGTTGGTAACTTAACACGTGATGTAACTGTTGTTCAGTCTTTCAACGTGTTGTTTCTTCATCAGTGAACAAGACACATCTTACCAAAGTTCCTCTAAAGACATACACTGTGCCAACCACACTGAAGATAAGCAGGAGACCTGTGAAGACTCCCATTATGATCTCCGTGTGGTCCAGCATCATTACCTCCTTGTAGCCTTCAGCTGGAAAACAAATTCACCGTCAGCCTGTGAGGGAATGCAACACTTTCACACAGCAGAGGCAGACTGACAAATTTATTTTCTGTTGAGAATGTAATTCACTGGGGAAAAAATTCAGGATGAAGGAATTTTTGGATTCACTTTTCCAAATCTTTCCAAAGCTTCCCAATATGCAAAGAAGGGCTGAATAAGAACTCAAAGAATGCATTTTTCAATTCTCATTATTCTTCAAGAACATTTCCTTTACGAATAAAAAAGAGAAGTGCTCATTTCTGTAAAACTAAATGAAAGTGTTCTATAAATAATTTCAACCTCTGTTTTCTTGATAATTTAACAAAGACAACATATCAAGATGTTGACACTGAGAATGTTATTGAGGTCAGTAACACGTTTAATTGACCAGATGAAATTACAAGTCAATATAAACAGGTCCCTATGGCTATTGCTTGCTCCTGAAATGTGTTATAACTGAGCTCAATCTTAGGGGAGATCTATTTATATATTGTTTTCCCTTGCTCTTACTTCATGTCACAAACGCGGCACGATATGCAAAAGATATGGACATTGTGCAAGTTGTTGATTTCATCAAGCAGGAGTTGATAAGATCTGCGAGACTATGAGGTTCTATGCATAATTATTTCAGAGTAATTATGATCCCAGTAAGTATTTAAATCATAAGCAAAATGTGAAAAATGATTTTTTTAAAAGAGCTAAGATAATTTTGCCTCTATTCACTACAAAAGCAAAATGAAACATTAGTCTCATGGTGTTGAATCTTTGATTGAAACTATGTTCAACTTCAGTGAAGTTGTTAAACCCCTTGATTACTCATTCCAAAGTTTTGATAACAATAACTTAATAATTGTTCTTTCGTGGGTCACTTATACGTCACCTCACATTAACACTTTGTCCTAACACTTTAGAAATCCTTTGTTTTGACATATTCATGTTGCAACAAAGCAGTCAATAGACAGTTTGTACAATTGTACAATTCTGTTAAAACATTCTCTTTTCTTTAACAGTTTGACGTTTTTCTGATCAGCACCAATTAACAATGTGAAGTTATCTCAAAACACAGGGAATTGTACGGATGGATACCCAACTAATTACATCCAAACTAACACAAACTAACACATGAGCCTTAAGAAAATAACACATGCATCATTTTGCTGAAAGAAACGGGAACCACAAACTAAATTAAGAGAAATGATAGGAGGTAATGGGACTGTCCTCTTCCCCATAACGCCCAACGTCGTTCAAAGATCATGTCATAACCTGCAAGCTCTACTGTTTAATGAATGTAAAGTGTAAACTTTGCATCCATAAGATTAAATATAATATTATAAAATGATTTGGAACATCTTTTCTTTATCCATCCATCCATTTTCGTAACTGCTTATTCTCTAATGGGGAATGGAGCCTATCCCAGTAGTTAGTGGGCGAGAGGCGGGGTACAACCTTGACGGTTTTATCTACAGTATATATATAAATAAAGTGTAATTATTTGTTTATGTATATAACACCAACCATAAATGTGATGGTTGGTTTGTGAAAAGAATGTATTTGAACGCTAAAATGATAATTTTCTAGTCTTAGACAAAAATCATGTTTGTAACGCTTGTCATAAATTGGGCTCCATCTTACATCAAATTAAGACTTGAGAATAACATCTTCTCTGAAATGGTACACCAAAGGGGATTTTCAATTTTTTTCAAGTATTTTATCTAATATGTTAGCGGTGACAAGTAAACATGTTTGTCAAGCAGAATCTTGCTTAATTCCTTTAAGGTTAGCTTTTTAATCTTGACCAGGGCTCCAGAGCTGCATGATTACATGACTCTTAAAACATTGAATAATACGGCTGTTTTTGAGTATGAAAAAAGTGTTAACAGTGAAACCTCTCATTTGCTGATTTTCATAAAAAACGTTTTCAAAAAGTTATACTTCTATACTGCTTTACTTGAGAGCCCCACGTTGATTCTTTATCCACATGACTGTCTTTTGTGATTTGGAGAAACTTTTGTTTTAAAGTTAGCAAAGTCCATGCTTTCATAGATGTGAGACTCTTCATGGGAAGCTTGTGCTTTGAGATTTCTGTAAAGTTGAGCTTTACTATAATCATATCACATTAAAGTTTAACAATGATATTTTGACAGAATTGTTGCCCTCTTGTTTATGTACTCACCTCTCACTCGTAGAAACCAGGACGCTTTAGCTGTTTTATATTTGCAGTAGTATTGTCCTGACATGTTTAGGTTCATGAGCTTCAGTGACAGAGTGGTTGGCTTGGTTGGTACCGTAGTGGCCTCGATGGCCCTACGGTATATTTCTTTATTGATAGGATTGAAGCAGGTAAAAAGGTCCTTAGTTTGGTTTGCTGGTGTTGTCAGAGTAAAGTTTATACAGAAGTCTTCATTTGAAAAGGCCACAAAGACTCTTCTCTCCAGATCAATTTCTGCAAAGGGATAAGACAAAGTAGAGTTTGTGCCGTTTATCAGAAGTATTGACAACAAGTTGATTAACAGAGACCCTTTCAAGAAGCAAAAATACACCATGAATTCTATCCAACTTGTGATATTTCCAGTTTATCAGTTTATGCATAATTAATAGGCATTATTGAACTGCATTCAACACTGTCCAACCATAGTAATCTACTACCTTGCCACAGCTATAGATTTGATAAATAGGTCAACTAAAATATCCAGGGAAGCGAGACAAAGACAAATACTGTATGAAAAAAAAATCTCTGATTGATAATCAGGAAATGACAAAGAAACAGGTAGATCTTTAAAAAAAAAAGCATGACATAATCCGCTTGTTGTTTTTCTTAGTCAAAAACTAATCGGAAAATATTTGGATGGCTTACTTGGTGCTTCCATTCCTGTGCACGCAGCAGGTAGCAAGAACACAAAAGCCCAAAACAACATGGTGGAAAGATGGTCAAAGTGTTGAGCCTCCATTTGCTCGTTTTTAAGGTTTGCTGCAGGTCTCAACTGTCTGCTTCGATAAAGTTCCTCTGTGTATTTCCTCTCACTTTGTCCTGGTGACTAATTGCAACATTGAGTTTCCTGTCTGTTGCAAAACCAAAACTTCCCCAAAAATGGGGACATTTTTTCCCTCGAAGCTGACACAAGGGGCACATTAAAGGAGCCAGAACACAAACGAAAAGAACCTTGCTCAACTCTGACTACGGCACAGGGGCACATCCACCAGGGGACAACCTTGAGCTGGGTCTGTGTTGTGGTTAAGATGAAAAAAAGGAGTGTTTTTTGCTTGTTCTGTGGGTGTTTCATCAGCTTCTGGAGGTGAACGAAAGTGCAGTGTTGGCTTCCTTCCACAGTGAGACGGTGTTGGCGAAAAACACAGTGTGAGCCACGAGCACATAAATCCTCTTGTGGTTTGAATCCGCATGTGTTTGTGTGTGTGTGTGTGTGTGTGTCTGGTTTGAATTCAGCTGAGGGTGACAAATTGCCTGTTGTTAATGTGAACCAGCTGTCGACAGAGGGGTGACTCCCTCACCGCAGAAACTCTGCTGAGGGGTGCACACAGATGTTAAATTGAAACGCTTGTTGTTATTTACACCCCAAATTATTTGTCTTACTCTCTTTCTTTTTCTCCCCTCTCCACTCGACTCTTTCCGCTCTTTTCTCTCTAGCTAAGCAATCAGGCCAACTCTGACCTCACCTCTGCTTCAGCATGGAAACAGACACATGGAGCTGCAATAACATCTGGATGCCAGTCAATGAAGAACAATTCATTTCGAGACTGCGAGTCTCCCTTTCGAGAAAGGGAAGTTTATAAATCTTTTATCAGTTAAAAAAAAAAAGTGAGATGTGCTCTCTGGTTGAAATAGACGCAATTAAAAATACTTTTGTCGATAACTATTTTCTTCAGCGTTTAATACTATTGAAGGTATATGTAAGGACATCACCCAGTGTTTTTGTTCAGCTTTTAGAGAGGCACAAAATGGCACAGATTAGCTTTATATAACATTTAATAATAAACGTAAACAGCAGTCAAAAATGATTGTATAGAAATGTTCTATTTTCTGTAAAATCTGTCATACTCACACTTTGCAACATATTCTAAAAGGAAAAGATGGATTTTTCATTACATTGAAAAAATGGCTTTGACACATTGACTTTCACACTCTTAGACTGTTTTTTCTATTTATTTTTTTTACTCAACCTTTTCAGACTTAAGGGAGCTGGAAACTGAAACAGTAATCGTGGGACAAAAACAGCAACACGTACACAACACCATTGATCTAATGTGTACTCGTTACTTGTTGTACTGTATTAGCTTTGCTTACAATCTGACACAACCTGCTGTAACCTGTATGTATGGAATACACCATCAGAGCCAGCATATTGGAGGACTTGTGTATACTCCGGGGGTTATTCATACCTTGAATTCAGTGAATACACTGGTATTGAAGGGAAAATAAATACATAAACAAATAAAAACTGTATCAGCTACCAGCCATCATACAAATAGTTGTACTTAACATTTGTGCTATCATTGGTGCATAGAATCACAATCACTGCATTTTTAGCACTTAGTTTACGATATGTTGTATTTAACAATGGATTGGGCTGAAGACTTTGTTACAGATGACACATGAACAGGTGAGAGTTACAATGATAATACAATGATAAAAAAAAAACCCTCATGCACTACTAAAGACTACAATCTATGGTAATTTCAGTCTCAAATATAAACCTGTGAAGCGCAAGAATTTGAATAATAAATTATTCAAAATGGATGGTGTCACAGCAACATTTTGCTGTTATAATTTTGGACTTTGTGAGCATGCACTGAAATTTCAAGAAGAAAGTGTTTGTTTGTGGGGTATTGCTTTTACACATTAAATAAATAATCAAAATTTCTAACAATCACCAGTGGATGTTGTATATAAGTCTCTGGTGTATTAGTATACTACTCGATATTCTGGCGCCCAAAATACTGTGGTGATATTTTCCTAGAAATTTGCCAAAGACAACTCGGAGTTTAATATTAAAACAGCATGCATGAGGCATAATAAAAAGAAGTGCTCACAGTAAGTAAAATCAACAGCTTCTTCTCGACTTAGGGCAGAAGAGGCCGATTTGAAACAACTTATTTCTAATGGAAATTATGAGGAAATCATTGCAGAAAAATGCAGAAACTTGATCCTGTAGGAAAGACACATGTACCCTCAAGGATACACTGAATACAAAGAGGGACCAACGCAACGCAAGTCATGAGACTTAAATGAAAAAAGAGGATGTGCCACACATCTGGCAGCAGCTGGGTAGTAGAGTGTGCATGTGCATGTGAGAGGGGAGAGTCAGAGGTGGGCGTGTGTTGAGGTGTTCAGATTCCACAACTCTTGAACCTCCACCAATGAAGACTTTCTTCAAAGGGGTTCTGAACCGGACCAGCAGCACTGTCCTCGTACGACAGCCGTGAGCCGAGGGAGAGGAGAGCGTTAGAGAAAAAACAAGCACAAGTAGGGAGGACCGAGGCACTGAACAACCGGAGAGTGGGGCTTCCTGCTGAGTCTTGAAGTCTCATCATCACCTCAAATTGTGAGTATCTGATCACTTTTCCAAAGCAGTTTCCAGCCAGTCACATTTCCGCGACCTCGAGGTAAGTTTGAAAAGCTTTAAGTATTATTTGGGAACAATAACAGACTTTAATTATAGTAAAGTAAATGTAAGCTGGTCCATGTCTAGTTTGCATCCATGTGTGTGTGAAGAGTCCCACCAAGCTTTATCAGATTTCAACGTGCTTTAATCAGCTTCCAAATCCTATGAAAACATTTACAATACCAAAACAATGAGTCACTGGTTCATTCTTGTCCAGTATGGAGTCACAGACTTTGTCATATGGATGCAATCTATTTTGTTTTTTTGCTTTATTTGTCCTCTTTTCTGGGACGCTTTCCAATTCCTTCTTTCGTATTTTTGCGCTGTCAGTCGAGGGCTTTAGAAAAAAATAAAGAAATGAAAAGAAAAAGAAAAGTTTTGAAATACTGCGTTGCTATGCCAGAATGGACTGTTGAGCTCATTCTCCTCTCAGAAAAGACAAACACACACACACACACACGCAGCTCATGGAGGAACATTGATTTCTGCTGCTTAATTGAACTGTTTTCACACAGTTAGGACAATAAACAAGAGTAGGTGTGATGTAATCTGTCTGGTGACTGAAGCCAAGCATCAAAATGGTAGAGTACTTCAAGCAGTACCATTTCCATCATCGTCGTCTCTTGGCAGTTTGTAGCTGCCCCAACAAATGCAGAGCGGAATAAATAGATTCTTTCTGCTAACTTTCGTACCAGCATCACAAACGCTCTTGACAAACAAGATTTGGCTAATCTAAGGTATGTTCACAGCGTTGCATTAATTCCATTCACTAGATTCTTGCCAAAATCCCAAAAAGTCAAGTCTAAGTCTAAGTCTAAAATTGGCAAGGCTGATTAGAACCTAATTTGTGTAGGCACAAACAAGTTGCTGCATTAGACCACAGTAGGCGTTTGCCTTATAATGTCATATTTGCATGCACAGGTAATGAAAAATATCAAATTGCCACATTCCAATCAGCCAGACACACAGTAAGTGAACTATTCAGTCTTCAATCTTTAAAATGTAATTAATCCAATGTGGTTGCTAGCTAGAAAGTCACTTACATTGCATCTTTTGCATTTTTATTTATCCAAATGTATAGTTATTGAAACAACCTGTCCAGGGTATATGTCCCCCCTCTTCCAATATCAGCCCTACTACGAATAGGCGGTATAGATTATTGATGGATGGATGGAATAAACAGAAGGTTCAAATAATCTCAGGGGTTTGAGAAATTCAGACCCATTTGCATTCAATCAATGAATTCCAATAATTAATGTGGGGTTAGCAACATATGTCTCTTATCCCAGTCACATATCAACTCCCAGTTGAACATGCCCAGAACACATGTCCTGTGAAAGAAAATGAGAAACATCTTGCCCAGCTACCCAAATTACCAACATTTTTAAACTTTAACGTGGAATATTGATTCTGCTCACGGCCCGTCCAAGATGACGATGTCCATACCATTCCCCAGAGGGTGAGGCCACCCTGCTCACACTCATGGTCTCATTCCTTTGATCACCACCTGCTACATTTTACTGTAGAACCTAGGCTGAAAACAGCTCTCCTTTTGGATCAGCCCATAAGCATTACCAACTGTTGCATAGTTTGCATCACTTCCTGGATCCTCCAGCCTTCCAAGAGAGTGTCTTGGCTTCAGGCGAGTTGACGCTTATTCTTATCCTGACTGCTTCAGATAGGACTGTGAACAGTTCTTCTGCTTGCTATAACTTTTTTTTAATCAACAGAACTGTATCATCTGCAGAAAGAGAAGATGCAATTCTAAGTCTGATGAACCTTAAACCATTCAGCTCTTAACTGGATCTAGAAATTATTTCTATAAAGGGATGAAACTGTCAGAGACAAATGGCTGCCATAGTGGGACCCAAAAGACACTTTGTTCTAAATGTTAGTCGTGTAAACCAAGCTTCTACTCCAGCTGTACAGAAAATGACCTATTACGATCCCCGATTCTCATACTTTGTCATGTGCTGGGATTTTGTTGTGAGTTTTGCACTTTGTTTTGGGAATTTTGGATTTTATCCTAGGTTTCTTCCTAGTTTTTGGTGTTTTTACAGTGTTAACAGTTATTAGTTCATGTTTCAGGATTTTGGAAACCTTAATTTCCGAGTTTCCGTGGATTCCTGTGATCCTTCCCTGGCCGTAGATTTGGATCCATTCCTTCCTCCTTTTACCCTGTTACATACTTCTTGATCATTCAGCACTGGATCATTTAGTTTGGTGCTGTGTCCTCAGGAGTGTTCCTAGTCCAAGTTGTCTACTTTGCATGATTATGTTGGGTGCAGAATTGCACACACACACTTACTGTACAAGGAGTACATGGGGAAAATCCATGGACTTCTTTGACACTCAGAGCACCTTCACGCTCGATTTTCTGGTTCAAGCTTTTTCCTTAATCCAACTTTTCCCCTAGTTATTGTATTTTTCTAATTCTCTTTCAGTTGTGCGTTTAACTTTTTAACTATGTGCTACAACACTCCGTTGCATTCAGCGAGTTGACAGCTGCACCTATAACGTTTCATCGGTGAAGCTTGGCTGCCGTTGTAGCCTAAAAAACAAAATTCAGCTTTTCCCACGAGTGCTTACAGCCAGACTTTGCACATGATTAGATGACGTTGCCATGGTGACTGTGTCCTGCTGCTGCTCGGCTCGCTCATCGTGGCTTGCAGCTCCACGTGATTCATTTGGTTTTAAAGTTTGAATACAAAAGCATTCAATGCCTCTTTCAGATTACAATCAAATGCAGAAATGCAGGGATCTAATCCTGCAAAGTTTTACCAAACATGCACCAGAGGCAGCTTTAGAATGTCATTACAATTAAAAAAATAACGAATCCATTCTTCTGAATAAAGCTGTTGCAGTGTTTGTATGTACTGATTTATACAGATTGCATAATCTATGATAATCTATTTAGTCTGACTCATTAAACTGAGCAAATTTAGGACATGTTAAATGTTTTTAGAGTAAAATGTTTCCTCATAATTCGTTTGAAATGTCGGAAAGCAAGGCAAATGCATTTGTATTGCACATTTTGTGTATAAGACAATTCAAATTGTCTATGTACAAACAACAAAATTACGTAATCTGTTACAGTACTGACATTGTTTGAACAGAGCACATTTTAAGGTTTGTTTTCTTTCTTTTTGTCCCTCTTTTAAAAGGCAAGTGTCTATCGTCTCTTCATGGCCCCTCTATATCTGTATCTGTTGTTGGAGCTGATGGTTGTTGCCATGGGAACAGGGGCCCATCCAGCCAGCGAGGAGAATGAACTGGATTATGGGTACTGGAACTACAGAGAGGGAGGTATAAATTTACCAGCCTGTGTTTGATCTCAGCCGTCAGGAGATGCAGAGCCTGTAAATCACTGAGTGTTTGAACCTGTGAGCTGTGGCAGTTGAATGAAATGCAGCAAACTGCATAGATGAGTTTCACTGCTTGGCGCTGAGAAAAAAAATGAGGACACCTCATGATTCCCTCGGGCTGATGGTGTCATGCTCTGGTTTCAGCTGACAGTGTGAACGTGGCCTCGGTGCGCAGTGTGACCAGAGTTTTAGACGCCTGGGGAAAACGCATCTTCAGTGAAATCAAGACTTTGCTGCACTCTCAGCCCAGCACACTGCTGCCCGACTACTCCAGGTAAGACGTATAAATCATGAGCAAGGTGTCTCAACTCTGACATTGACTAATAGTTTCTTATTTAACAGTAAAAGTAGTACTTATTGCCTTTTATAGTCTCTCATTTTTGCCCGCCATATGCAGACAACAGTTAAACAACGGAAGATATTGTAGACTTAAGTTTTTTTACCCTCTATATTCTGGTACATTAGGCTTAGGTAACCAATTTGACATTCAGTTTTACAAAACCTACAACAATGACCAAGAATAAAGGTTTGACCCAATGTCAGGTCACAATTGGAGAAAGCTGAATTGGTCAACAGCCTCAAACTTTTTTTAGCCCAATAAATATTCACTACATTGACATTCAAAACTTTTTTACACTCTGTAACAGGGATGCACCTTCAGTTTCACTCATAATCTTGCATCTACAAGTGCTCCTATGTGACGCTGCATGCAGTTTGGCAAGGTTGGCAGAAGGTGCTGAGTCAGTGGCCTTTGTAGTATCCTCACTCTAGATCTCTTGTCTGAAGACTCTACCCGCACATTTTTAATGGTCATCACATAATTCTGTTTCCCACCAACATACCTTATTTTTATCACGTGCCCTCATTAGCAAATATCTTCCGAATTTTCTTGGAGTAACAATGATAAAATTAAAAAAGGGAAAAAAAGTCAAGGCATTTCCCCCAAATATTTGTGGAGACCCTTGGCAAATATCTTCCAAAGCCATGTTTTGCTATGCTTTAAATATCGTCACTTCAGCAAATCATTCTTCATTTTTGGTCTAAAACAGTTGAGGATGGTTGTTAACATGGTAAAGTGGGTTGTTAACAGCTTAAGATTCACGCATAAATGAATCCGCGTGAATATGTGCACAAATGTCAAAAGAATACAAAAATAAAAGACGGATAGTAAATTCAAGCTAATGAATACAAGAATGTATTTATTTTCTGTAAAAGTACTATCATCACCAATATTCATCAGGGTGTACCAAGATACCAAGCATCTTTGAGGAGATTTAGTTGCCCATTTTTCATACATATCTAAAAGCAAGCTGTGAGGAACTGGCTTTTTTTATTTTCCAATAGGATCACATTCCAAAACATCAAAAGAAGTCGATGAAAATGCATTCAGACAACTGAATGATAGTGCCTTTATAAAAGTGTGAAGCTGTACACCTATTGTTTCATTAAAGATGGAAAGTTTGATGAAATAACAGAATATGTAAATCTCAAACAAATGAAAACAAATGAAATTAAAGTTAGATGGCCAATCTTTTATCTAGAAAGGGAATATGCATAAAAGAAACTAAACAGTTTGCTTAACTAGCTGAAAAGGTGACCCAAACACAGAAGCTGAAAGTTTTAAATATAGCATTTGGTTTGAATCCCAGCTTGGGCCTGTAGCTGAATGTCACCAACTCTCTCCGTCTCCAGTTTCAATACCAATCATTAGACAGTAGCACATATTCAAGCCTGAACTGAATCTTAAACGATTTCCCGATATTATAAACGGTTAATATCTGTCTTTCAATGTAAACTATTATGTGTAGGCTATAACTAGATCCCAGCCTTATTGAGTCTTCATATACAAAGAACGGAGATAGATTGATTTGTGAAACAGTAAGTTAAAAAACTTTAGACCTTTTTCTGCTGTTTTGCTGGGATGAGGGAAGATAAAGAACATTAAGAATGATAAAAAGGAAAAGAAGGCATTAAGAAACAAGCTACAAAGAGAAGAATAGGGGAGAGAACACAAAACTAATTTTAAACAAAGCAGTTGAGAGAGGAGAAGAAAAACTGTACCTGTGGTGTAACCTATCAATAAGCGTCCTGACTTAGACCTGAATGATCATGAACCACGTGAGTGGTCTGACCAGAGACACTGAGGCTGATCCTCCTCTGCTCCTCCTCCAGGGTGCGCCCTCTGTCCGAATCCGTTAATGACCTCTTCAGAGAAGTCTCCCTTCTCCACCGCCGCATCACAGAGCTATCTAATCGCTTAGCAACGCTGGAACCGTTCCTCCGTCGCCACGGCTACCAGGGGGGAGACATGGAAGAGGCGGGAAGCAGAAGGGTAAAGATCCTAAAAGGGGAGGTGGTGCGTGCTGCCCGGTATGACCCCAGGAGCAAAGTCAGGGCGAGCACGCCCAGAGGGAGCCGGGTGGTGAGGAGGAGACTGGTGAGAGTCTTCAAGAACAAGGGACTGAAGCAAGTTCAGGGGGAGTGATACAGCAACAGAGTGGATTGAAGAGAATTAAAGAGAAACTTATGTTTTAAACCATTCATGACTTTCTGTTTGCATTAATACTAGCTGTCTTGTAGAATAAAGAATAAGTCCTTATAATGTGTATTAGTCCTGGAAAAAAAGATGAGTCTTCTTTAATAAACTCCATTTTTGTCAGTATTTTGTTCTTTAACTGTTCTTGGCAGTTTGAACACATGATGCTTATTTCTTCCTTTTACTCAACTTGTGTATATTCCTATTTCAATCAGTCTTAAGCTCATTTCAACCCTGTGGCCACATTCTGAAGTATGTGTTTTAGAACTTTACAGTTCCAGCGGAATCCATGGGAATCACACTCTTAAGCCTCCCTGGGAAGGTCTACTCAGCGGTGCTGGAGAGGAGGGTCCATCAAATAGTTGAACCTTGGATTGAGGATGAGCAGTGTTGTTTTCGTCCTGGCTTAGGAACGATGGACCAGCTCTATACCCTCGGCAGGGTCCTAGATGGTGCATGGGAGTTCACCCAATCAGTCTACATGTATTTTGTGGACCTGTATAACTGGTGTCAGAGCTTGGTCCGCATCGCCAGTAGTAAGTCGAACATCTTTCCGGTGAAGGTTGGACTCTGCCAAGGCTGCCCATTGTCTCTGACTCTGTTCATAACTTTTATGGATAGAATTTCTAGGTGCAGCCAAGCCGTTGAAGGTGCCTGTCTTGGTGGCCTTAGGATTGCATCTCTGCTATTTGCAGATGATGTAGTCCTATTGGTTTCATCAAGTTGCAATCTACAGCTCTCGCTGGAGCGGTTCACAGCCGGGTGCGAAGCGGCTGGGATGAGTATCAGTGCATCCAAGTCCAAGACAAAGGTATCTCAGCGGAAAAGGGTAGAGTGCCTCCTCTAGGTCGGGGGTGATGTCCTTCCACAAGTGGAAGAGTTCAAGTACCTTGGGGTCTTGTTCGCAAATAGGGGTAAAATTGAGCAGGAGATCGACAGGGGGATCAGTGCGGCGTCTGCAGTAATGTGAGTGCTGTACCAGTCTGTCCTGATGAAGAGAGAGCTGAGCTTAAAAGCGAAGCTCTCGATATATCAGTCAATCTACATTCCTACCTTCATCTATGGGCAAGAACTTTGGGTAGTGACCAAAAGAACGAGCTCACTGAAATGGTTTTCCTCCGCAGGGTGTCTGGGCTCTCCCTTAGAGATAGGGTGAGAACTTTGGTCATCCGGGAGGGGCTCAGAGTAGAACCGCTGCTCCTCAATGGTGAGAGGAGCCAGTTGAGGTGGCTCGGGCATCTGATTAGGACACCTCCTGGACACCTCCCTGGTGAAAGACCAGAGGAAGACCCAGGTCACGCTGGAGGTACTATGTCTCTCGACTGGCCTGGGAGCGCCTTGCGGTCCCCCCGGAGGAGCTGGCAGAAATGGCAAGGGAGACATAAGTCTTGCTTTTCCAGACCAAGGATAAGCGGGGTACAATGGATGGATGGATGGAACTTAATGGATCAATTGTGGATCCAATTGTGGATCGATTGTGTATATAAATGTGGCTCCTATTCCTGGTGGTTATGAGGGCAGGTGGCATCTTGATTATTCATCATCCTCACCAGTGGCTGATCCTGTGTCCACTGCTCACAAACTCCAGTCTTCTTTCCCCTTCTGTTCTCCTCAGTCAGGGTTTTTTTTTCACTCTGGGCCTCGAGGGCCGCTAACAGGTGTGTTACAGCAGGGAAGCTTTTAAAACATACACTACAGCTGCCCCCGAAGGCCGGGGTTGAGCTTTTTAATGATACTTTTAACAAAAAAAGAAGAAAAAGGGATCAATTTCACTTCACACATGCCGAACACTTTCGCATGACATGTTTGTGTCAATTTCTCCTCCTACAATTAGACACCAGTAGACTATTGATCACAGACTGGAGAGAAGCCTAACTGCACACAGTCAATATTGCAACTTGTTGCAACTAGATGCAATATTGATCTTGCGATAATTTTTTCCTCTCAAAAGCTTTCATCTCCTAAAAATACCACTTTAACACTTAACACTCATGTTACGCACTTCTTTTGACAAAAGAGAAAAATGCAATTTGCACATTTTAAGATGCAATTCTTAATAACAGAAGGTATGAGCATCATGAGGGCTAAGTGACCACAGATAGATAATGAAAGGGCTGACAGTGCTCATTAAATTCACGCTATTTGTCCCAGTAGCACCTATCAACACTATTTTCTAAACTCTGAGGGGTAAGGTCACATTATTTCACACATATGTAACCAGCCATCAACATGTCCTCAGGGAAGTGATATAAATGACTATGATACTTCAGTAGTGTGGCTAAAGCAAGTCCTGGATTCACAATTAGACTCAGAGATAAACTGTTTTTAGAAGAAAATTAACAGGAAAGATTCACAATTGACCCCCACCAAAAAAGACTTGAATATGCTTGGTATAATCAATTGCATCCATGGCAACACTGAACTTTCTGACCATTCATTTGAATATTTTGGAAAATTTGATGACACTCAACAATGCTTCTGAGGTCTGTATTGATCATGAATGACGTCCTCCTTTCTCACACACACAGACACACACATATATATATTGTGAGTGCATTTTGAAGATGAATCACACTGCTATGAAAACATTTGTACTACAGATGAAGCCAGCCTCCATCTACTTTCACAATAACAACCGGAGGATGTCTTTTATTTTTTTGCCACAGGGTGTCAGTCCTCACCTATTTCCATAATCAGATGTGACATCACGCTCACACAAGGAAGCCTGATCTTTTGCTTTTGCTTTTGCTCAGCTAAGTCAGGAGCGGTCCTCATGGGCCCAGCAGGGGGTGCCTATTATCTGCTAACATAATTATAGCCCACTGTTTTTTGGTGATAGTGCGTGTGTGTGTGTGTGTGTGTGTGTGTGTGCGTGTGTATATATGTTGTGGGCACAGACATCGAACTTTACGCCTTCATTAAAACTTTGCCAACTGTTTCTACAGCAACCAGTTTCTCCCTCCTCCTCTTCTACGACTTGTCACCCTCACCACACACTGCCGGGTGGAACGCACCTCCTTTATTTCGTGTTCGACCTGCGACACCCTAATGCCAATTTGGTTTCTCCGTCGTTTCACTGACTCTTACCCGCTTATTCCATGCTGTAATCTGTACATCAAACCACCACACCCCTCTTCCTCCTCTTCTCTTTTCTCTTCTTCCCTCTCATTCCCTCCCCTCTCTCTGCTGCTCTGTGTGGGCGTTAAGCTCAGGCTGTACTTTCCATTTTGGTACTGTATTGTCAATGTATTGTTGCATCCGATCCAGTTAAGATGCTGTGGGAATACAGTATAAATCTCCCCCCCCTCCCCCGACTCTTTTTCTTGTACTCCCCCTCCCGCCCATCTTAGGAAAAAGAGCCAGTTGCTAGGTAACAGTTAATTGTCAAGAAGTAGTTACATGTGTTGCACTGCATCCTGAGGTTGTTTGGTTGGCGTAGGGACTGTGCAATTAAGAAAGAAAAAAAGAGAGAATTAAAAAACAAACAAACAGGAAAGTTGTTCAAATATTATTTACAGTTCTACTCTGCGATTTGGACCACTGTCCAGGACTGCACATGTTAAAACCTAACCCGCCGAATCTGTATGCAAGACATTGGTACTTTTTCAAACCTGCTGGTTTCTTTAAATAACTCCTGTTGCTGGACAAGGCTCTCACAGCAAAGAGCTTGTCTGAGGCATGAGGGGGAGCAAGGTTTTGGGAGCTTTGATCTGTGCTGCTCAGTCAGTATGCGCCGCTTCCCCTTTCCCTCAATAGATCACTCATAGCTTTTTCCCCCCCCTCCTTAAGCTCCCAGCCTTTTGGTCTATGACCACTCCTGTCCAATGTTGTAGAGGAACATCAATTTCACATGATGAGAATGCGGCTTGTTACAAGGAAGAAAGTAATTTAAACCCTCCACTCGACTGAAAATGATACACAGTAGGAACATGCATAAACCGACACATGTTTGCGATGGACTGGCGACCTGGGAAGAAGTGGTATAGAAAATGGATGAATGGGATAAACTGAGAAGGGTTTGTTTATTGAAAATCTTCTAAAAAAAATGTTGCCTTCCACATGTTTAAAAATCTAGTCTATTTCAACGGGTTAACCAGCAAAGGGTCACTAACATTGCAGGACGGTGATGTCGAAAAACCTGCATGTTAGGTTGATTGGACATTCCAAATTGCGTCCTTGTGTGTCTCTGTGCGGCCCTGTGATGGACTGGCGGGCTGTCCAGGGTGTACCCCGCCTCTCGCCAACTGATCACTGGATTAGGCTCCAGTCCCCCCCCCGACCCCATTAGGAATCAGTGGTTACGATAATGGATGGATGGGTCACTAACATAATAGTCTGTGCAAAAAATGATAAGGAAAGATGCAGAGGTTCAAATCTCATAACTGAAGGCACATGAATGAATATTGAATGGTTTAGAGAACGTTGACGCATTACGGTATGTCCTTAAGAAACCTTAAGGCATCCTCATGCCTTTTGGTAGCACTGTGCTTGTCCTGTCCATCTTCTGTTCATTTAGAAAACAGTGGATTGAAGTATAAAGCTGATGAACTGAATTCTAACGTTTCATTCGTCTTAATGAAAAAAAAGCAAAAAAAACTGATGAACTTTTCAGCATGTCACCGGTGCACGGTTTGTTTGTTAGTAAAGAGCCCTTTTGCTACACATTGCATAGCTTTCACAACTGTGAATGCATCTTAATGCTTCATATGAAATGCATTCTTTGGAGAGTCAAATGCCTTTATCTAGGCTGCTTCCTTTTAAGTAAATTACTGCTATTTTCACAAAGATGCAACCCTTGTTGCATCTTTGCAAATCTGAAAGCAATCACCTGGAAAGCTGCAAAATGTTGAAGTGAATCAGACATATTGCCCTAAACGTGTTTAATCAACTATTAGTTGAATACTATCACATGAGGTAGCAGTTTAAGCTTTGCTGTGGATATAATTCAGTAGGAGAAGTAATTGTCCTAAGATTAAACTCTTAAGTGGGGGACTTCAACGGCGGTGCTTAACATCATCAAGATGAAAGCCAAAAAAAAAACATTTTCAGGAATTATTTTGTTTACATGGAGGTTATATGTGAGAAGGGCTTAGTCCATCACATTTGCTAACCCAGGGTGGTGAATCTGCATTTCTCGGTCCCCTAATATGTATCAAGTCTTCTTCAAAACATTTAAAATCAACCTCCACACACAAATGTTTATTTGCACTTAAGTGGCTT